GATATATAGAAGATATGTAATTAGGCACTAACTGTTGCCAACCTGACGTCCCATATTACGTCTACGTTGTCCCTAGCTAGGCAGTATATCTAGGTCCTAACCATTTAGCTTGGTAGCCTAGTTAAAATTTCCGATGTGTAAACGAGACGTTACTAAATGGCGCAAAAATTTAAAATCATAATTAAACGAGAAATTTCGTTAGTGACTTAGAATATTAAAAAAATCATATGAAACGATAAAATTTTAAAGTATATTTAAATGGGATGACAGAAGTCGAGCGATAAATTTTTATAAATAAAAAATAATAAATGAGCATTAAAAAATGTTGTATTTTTTAAGTAAAGAAATGTTAATAAAGAGTTATTAAAAAATTATCCAACTTCCAAAATTAGTTTCTTTATGAAAACCTCATTAGAACTCTACCTACCATGAGTCCCGTGATCCATTGTTTATTTTTGGTGGTCAGACTGAGTAGTACAGAAACAGGAATTTCGATAAAGCTCGGCACCGAATATTCAGGAGTCGTAGAAGTAGAGATCGTGGGTATGGCCTAGTAAATGTACTTGGTCTGATAGTATGCTGGTGGGCAGGTGCATTCAGTAAGTAATGCAGCTACTAAAGTTTGTGAATATTTTTAGGTTTCAGAAGTTTTACATGTCATTCCCACGCAGGTAAACCGTTAATAAACGTTTATAGTGATGATTTTTGAAGTTTTGATTTTTGTGCAACGATCATAGAAGTAAGTTAAGTTAAGTAAAACTACAAATTGTTATAACACTGTCGATGAGAACTTAAAACTTTGTAATTTACACTATTTGTAAAAATCGATTATTTCTAGCTTCACCAAATTTAAAAAAATCATCAGATAAGATATAACTTAGTTGTTGATTTAGTTTATGTTCATAATTCAAATGTTTGAGATTCAAAATTCTAATTGATGCAAACACAATCGAAACTTTGATAAATAAATAGAATACTAAGAAAAAATTAAATAGATAACGTATGACAAAACCCTTTACAAGGATTTGAAATAAAGAGACGAGTACAATACGCTACTTCTACATTACATAAGACATAAATTTAACCAGTTTGTCAAGGCCAGCTCGCCATGCGACACACTAACACTATTTCTTACATACCATTTGGTAAAGTCTAACATCACAATACTAAGTCAACGATTTAAAAGAAAAGTATACTTTAATTAAGACGTTTCTGACGATTCAAAACTTAATTCATTCATTTGTAGATCGAATCTACAAGTTCCACCCTTTAATTAGATGTTCGGACGTAATAAATTGGCAGTAGCAAACAAAGCCTTTCGTTTTACTTGAAGTATGCCTTAATAAAATCGAAATTTTGATTTTATTGGATTATTTTATTTGGCTGATGGCGAGTTTGGTCTGTAGTAATTGACCGATATTAATTCTTTTGCAGGTAGTCCAGATACGTGCAAGTGAGTTTTATTTCATTTGAAAGCCTTATAACTAATAAAATGATGATTTAGACTATTCAAACTGCACTATTATTTGAAAATGTAGCCACATCGAAACCCCAATACTTGACGTACACTAGTAATTCAAGCTTAGTTTCAAATGTTTAGTAGGGTCCCGATATGTGAAGAGCACTCAAAAAACATGCATAGGGTCACGACCAGGTACGAGGAAACGAGAAAACCAGCGAAGGCAATTAGTGGTTTTGTCGTCTTTAAGTACTATGAAGGGATGGTGTGATGAAAAGAAAAGGGCCGTAGAAAATTCGGACACTTCGTCGAAGAGCTCGACTACAAGGAGTACTTCTTCCTTTCTTCGGTAACAGTACTCTCGCACCTGGTGGAATTATTTAATTCGTGGGCAGCTTTTGTCTGACTCCAACTCAACTTAATTGGTAACCGTAAGTAAGGAACGAGTGGTTCCTAAGGGTCGAGTCAAGCTTGCAAATTGTCGCTGGCGATTCCTCGTTGAAGAAGTAGTAAAACCCTTTGAAGTTGCTTCGTAGACGTGTTTTACTTGGTACCGGAGGGTGCCGCTTCATCTCAACAATTTGTTCATTGTAATACCATGTAGTTAGGAAGCCAGTACCCCGTTGAATCTTGTGTCGTGCTCTAATTTTGATACTTCATTTGACGTTTTTCTATTAAATTTATCGTCGTTCGAGAATCCATTTTACGGTCTAATCTCGATGTATAAGTGCTGTATCATGCGAATTAATTGAATTAGTACCGAAAAGATTTATTGATTTTATAATAATTAGCTTAAGATATATTTCTCACTTGCTATAGCATTATTAAGATATTCAATTGTTACTTAAACCATAATATTACCTTAATATTTATTCGTTGTATCATTATCTTTTCGTATCTTACGGAGAAAGCTTATCATTCCACAAAATTTGTAACAAGAAAAGTAAAGATTGTTTTTCTTCCAAGAAGTAATTATTAACTTTTATATAACTCGCTTTAATTGAAATTTTCTTTCCTTTATTTTACTTTTTCTTTTAATTGTTTTCCAGCTAATATCGCTGCGCGTTGGAAGTTATGTTGGAAACAGATAGTAGAAAACGTAAAAACGATTAATGTGTGTAAAATTGGCCATCGTGAATCTTGCTTTTTCTTTTATTATATTTTGTAAATCAACAACATTTGATTTTAAGTATCATTTTCTACCTTATATCAAAGTGATGCCTTTTATATTTGTTTGTAAGAATATTATTAAAGTGTTTTTGTTTGTTATTAATTCTGAAAGTTCCTATTAAACTTTGTTCTTTGGAAATAAAGTTATCCAATATCTTTATTTATTGGGCTTTACTTCGCCTTGTCCAACTAACACAACACAGTTTATTACCATATTAAAGTTATTATAGTGAGTGATTATAAATACAGAGTTACTGACTATATGTGTTTGGGTTGTGTGCTACTGGTTATATCTATGATCGTGGCTCTGAGTCTCATAATATACGAGATTGTTGACGAATTCAAGTAGCATTGATTTTTTCAAGGATGTCAAGATCCCACATCGTGATTATATTTGTACACTTTTTTCATTTTTTACTATGACGATTTTAAACTAATTTAAAACTCAGGCAAGTAGATAAACTAATAAGAATTTGTTAATAAAGTAGTTTTGTGACTTCCACAAAAAACAAAATCTGCTTAGTGCAATTTTGTTTTCTCCAAACATAGTGCACAAAAAGTGGTGTGAGACGGTGTATACGCTCAGTGTCGTGAAACAGTATGTGAAATACGACAAGAGTAGAAGAGATGGAGCAATCTAAGTCAAGTGCACCTGTACTATTTGCCATGGATATACTGTCCCCGCATCCCTCGAGACATTTTTTCACTGTATTGGTAATATAAATAGAAAATTTGATATTAAAGCAAGATCCCACATTTGTGGAACCAATCCATCCGTACATTCATGGACGCATAAAAGTCTGACAAGTTAGCAAGCTGATAGCCGATTGTGCAAAGGGCCTTATCCTTGGCACGTGTCATAAGTTGATCGTTTGGACTAATCAGAAAGACCTTTAATGCCTGCATTACTAGGCGCCTCGTATTAAGGATTTGGCCTTAGTCATTATTAATATAGAGATGTTTTATATAGAAAGTATCTATGTATATGAGTGATAATTTTGTGCATTTCTGACAGCTGTTACTCTTTTATACATCATGTGTATGTACATAGTTTCTGTAATGAACTTCACACTTTTATTGGCTGTTCTACTCTCGTACGCCCTTTATGCTAAGATTCTTAACTCGTTAGCCCCATCAAGAGACCATTAAAAAATTATTATAAATTGTGTACATACATTTAGTACTCATCTAGAAAATTTTCACTTTGGATTTTACTTGTGACTAGATAGTATTCAAACGCAAAGCCGTGTTTCAGTTTACTGGCCTTATACATTTGTACAAACATGTTATAAATCTATCCTTGTTTTAAAACCTGTCATACTTATAATCACGAGCACCCTTCCGATATCACGCTAAAATCTGCACCGCCAGCGTCGTCCCAACAAGGTTGTGATTAGCTTAGCTAGGGAGATGCAAGAAAATAAACTGCTGTGTTTTGTGTGCCTTATTAAAGCCCCCCCCCTTTGCAGCATCCGCGTGCCGAATACTCGAGCTGACGGCAACTGTAGCACTGCGCAACACGTGGTTGCAGTGAAGTGCAATTTTCTTGGATAAAGCATCGTTCAACTATGTCAGAAAGCGAAAATGATGCAAAATTCAGCGATCTCGCCGTCCAGCAAAATTTCCTGGCTTTATACATCAAGAATTTCATGAGTAACACGAAAAAAGCAAAAGCCGCCGACCAATTTACATTCGCAGACTAGACGAATCGAATGCGTATCCTCCAAGGCTGATGGAATGAATTCGAGGTGAGCAATATGGAGCTCTTCATTGCAGAAGAGTAATTTGGACAGCATTCTTACTTCAAAAATAAGCTTTATGAGAATACAATGGAATTTCATTGTGATAATGCAGGAGAGCTTCAGGGTTCAATAAACAGTCTCACTCCAACCCCACCCACCGACACTGGCACCAACCAACACAACTCAACTGGCCGAGTCTCCTCAAGTTACTCACAGTTGGAAAAGGTAAAGTTACCGGTGTTCGATGGAAGCCCAAGAGAGTGGCAAGGCTTCTGCGATAAGTTCAAGGCCCTAGTTATCGTCGATCATCAAATGGTTCCGGTTATAAAATTTCAACACCTGATCAATAGCCTAAAGGGGGAGCTGGCTGAAATGCTTAGAGGTGTGAAGTTGGAGGAGGCTAATTTCGACACGGCTTGGGAAATGCTGAATAAGAGGTGTGGCAACAAGTTGCTTCGGTGTAACACCATCTTAAAGCCATTTTGAGTTTGCCATCGTCACCTGTCGAGTCCGTCTTACATCTTAACCAGCTGCTCGCTACTGTTAACGAGAGTATAAACGTTTTTCGCCCTCTCTGTACGAAGTTTTCTGAGTGTGACCCATTACTCGTATACTGCGTTACCTCAAAGATGCCCATAATTACCCAGTTGGACTGGTCCAAGGAGTGTGACAGGACTGCAACAACCTTCGCCAGCTATGAGGCTCTGAAGTTCTTCCTGGAGACCAGGACACGTACTCTGGACCGGTTGGATTCGACTGAGCAGAGACCATCGACAAGTGAACAAAGGGGCAGTGTTAAGGCTGCCAAAAAGGCTAACACGTCGCAGCAGCCAAGCGCTGTGCACGTGGCCACCAACCAGCCGGACAAACCTGCCAAGAAGGAGTGTGCCCTTTGTAAGGAGGCTCACTACTTTGGATCATGCCGAGATTTCCCCAGCAAGTCTGTCTCCGAGCGACGAGAGCAAGCAAAGGTCGCCATGCTATGTTTTAATTGCCTTAACCCAAATCATCCCGCAAGAAAGTGCGCATTCAAGCATCGCTGTCGCGCCTGTCAAGGTAGACACCACACCATTCTGCACATGGATAAGAAACTTGATCAGCACTCTACCTACGCATCTAGTGGCTCTACACCAACCGATCAAACACCGTTACCCACTGGGCTTGGTGGCTCCTCGGTATTGTGTGCAGCGCTGTCAGGGAAAACAAGGCTGCTCTCGACAGTGATAGTTAACCTCATCTTACGAAAAGGACTGGTCTACCAAGCCAGAGCTCTTCTCGACTCTTGCTCTGAACAATCTTACGTAGCCTCCTACGTGGCCAAAGCGCTAGAAGCCAATGTGGAGCAAACTCGAGTCGCCGTTTTTGTCTTGGGTGACACGACTACAGTAGCCAAAGGATGGATCTATGTCACACTTAAGTCGGGTATAAATCCCTACTTCAACTTCGACCTAAAAGTCCTCAGTGTAGACAAGCCTACTTCGTCGTTGCCATCAACTTCTGTCAATATGGAGGCCTGGGATCATCTAGCTTGACTCACATTGGCAGATCCACGCTGCAACGTCCCGGGCGGAATCGACTGTTTACTCGGCGCTAAGGTCTTGGCGACTGTTCTGCGTCCCCTCTTAGTCTCAGGGCATCGAGGTACACCATGAGCTCTTCGCACCGTCTTTGGTTGGGTAACCATGGGAGGTACTCGTGCAGCCAATGACGATGAGGTAGCTTCTACCAAGTCATTTTCCTTAACCGTGGACCACGAGCTGTCTACTACGCTTCGAAGGTTCTGGGAGGTCGAAGAGCCTAGCAGCCGCAAGCACATGTCTTCGAACGATGCCAAATGCCTTAAGCACTTTAACCAACACGCTAAGCGCGACAATTCAGGTCGCTTCGTCGTTAAATGCCATTTAGTAAAGCTCCTACGGTTTTAGGCACTCGAGAAATAGCTCTGGCGTCCCTCAGGAGCACTGAAAAGAAGCTGGCCAGGAAGGAACCCCTCTATCGAGCGTATTCCACCTTCCTAAAAGAGTACAAGCTACTTGGTCACATGAGCCGGGTTTCAGACGATGAGGTTATGTTAAAATTTGCTATGTACATACCTCACCACCTCCTTCGTTATGGTTCCTGTCAAAAAATACGAGTGGTATTCAACGCTTCATGCTCACGGGTCCTAACCTCCTCAAAGATCTCAGACCGATCCTGATACGCGAGAGATTCTTCAAGTATGCTTGCACGTGCGACATCATAAAAATGTTCCATCAATTTTTGGTGGATACGATTGATCGTGATTACCAGAACATCGTCTGGCGAGAAGCTCCTGACAAGCTCATTGTCAACTATCGACTCAACACTGCCACGTACGTACGGTCTCAGCCCCTTTCTTGGCCAACGCCTGCATGCTCGAACTAGCCAAGCAGGAGCGAGATAACTTTCCCCTGGAAGCGTCGATAATTGAAAGGAATCGCTACGCTGATGATTTCATCACTGGAGATGACACCGAGGAGGGCTTGATTGGAAAGACGACTGAGCTTCCCCAAGTCACGTCAGCTGTGGGCATGCCCTTGGATAAATGTTCATCAAATTCCCAACAAGTAAGGGATCGCTACTGCAAGGTGCCCACGGAGCCTGTCGAGCTGTCGCTTCCTGTCTTTGTATTTGTGTCTACTCTGGGCATGCTCTGGAGCCCTACGTGGAGTCGCAGGACGCAACAACAATTAAGAGACAAATCCTATCCAAAATCTCCAAGCTTTACGACCCCCTGAGTCTTTTATCATCAGTGATAATCAAGACCAAGCTTCTGCTGCAAAATTTATGGCTGCAGGAAGTAAAATGGGATCAGATGCTGCTGGTTACAGTGGCTCAAAACTGGCAAGAGTTTTGCCAAGATCTACTCAACGTTCGCTCCATACAAGTACCTTGACGCCTCTGAGAAGGCCTATTCTGCCGCTCTCTATGTAGTGCATCGAGAAGGTAACAAGAGTCACTTGCAGCTGCTCATCGCCAAAGCAAGAGTGGCGCCCATCAAGGTGTTAAACATATCTCGATTCGAGCTCTGCGGTGCTCTTCTATTCATTCAGCTGCTCGGCTTTGGTCACCAAAAGCATAGAACGCCCCGCTTTAGCCGCGCGTTGCTGGTCCGACTCCGCTGCTGGTCTTAGAGAAAACACTCGAAGCTCTTCAGGAAGACGCCTCAACTGGCTATCAGCAACAGAACTAGCTCGTGGGCGCGTGTATTTGTGGTACCTCGTTCAGCAGAAAGCGTTCAGGGGAGAGATTCGAGCTTTGCTTGCAGGCAAACCGATCAGCAGCTCAAGTCGTCTACGTAGACTTTACTCCTTCCTCGATCCTGACCGACTCTTGAGAGTAGGAGGACGGTTGCAAAATGTCGCGCTCATGGAGGCTAAAAAACATCCAATCATCCTTCCGGCTCATCACCACATCGTCAAGCTGCTGATCCGTGATACCCACCTACAACACTACATAGAGGCCTACAACTTACACACAGCACCATCAATCGTCAGTACTGCGTATTACGAGGTAGGAACACAATACGAAGTATAGTTCGAGATTGTGCTACCTGTGCTCGACAAGCAGGACGCACCACTGCTCAGAAAATGGCTCTACTGCCAGCTTGTCGAGTCCTGCCGTCACGACCGTTCACCCACACTGTTGTAGACTACGCTGGCCCGTTCTTGTACACCGCTTCGCTCGGTCGAGGACGTAAATCACTCAAGAGCTACTTAGCCATTTTCATCTGCATGTCTACCAAAGCCATACATGTCGGAGTAGTCTCGGATTAATCTACGCCTGCATTTCTTGCCGTCTTTCGACGCTTCACATTTCGACGAGGACTTTGCAAACAACGGTGCCAACTTTTAGGGTACAGCTGCCGAGTTAAAGAGGATGTTCCACTAGACGTCGGCGTTCAGTCAAGAAGTAGCCGCATCAATCGCTCTAGATGGCACTGAGTGAAAGTTCATACCACCCAACGCACCAAACTTTGGGGGACCTTAGGAGGCAGGCGTGACAGCATGCAAATTTCACCTCAAACGCGTACGCGTCTTAGGCATCAAGGTATTGACTTTCGAGGAGTTATACACGCTTACTTCGCAAATCGAGGCTTGCTTAAACTCCAGGCCTCTCAACTTTAAACGACGAAGACCCCGCACCTTTGACACCTGGTCATTTTCTCATCGGCTCGACCCTAGTAGCTCCTCCAGATCCTGACTCGATAAAGCAAGACTGCAGCTCAAATACCAGATAAAGGCTGATTCAGCACTATAGAGATGAAATCCGGCGCCGCTGGAGCCAAGAATACCTCTACCTAGCCTGTCACTTTTCTAGATTTCTCACTCTGCTCTTTTCGCTACCCTTTCGATACTTGCTCGTGCCAGGCTCTCTACTCTTCTCACTACAGCTGCCACTCGACTACTACTGCGTTACTGCAGTCCACTTGGATTAATGCGCGCGCCTCTCCCGTGTATCAAAAAAATTTACAACACGCCTAAAAACCGGTAAATTGTTGGAGGTTTCAAAAACTAGGAAATCGACGCGACCGCCTGGCGCTCACTCCTCTCCGACGCGTCACGAGCCCTTCCATCTCTCTTTCTTTATCTTACACTTATACTCACCCAATCATACATCACACACATTCAATCTCTTTCATGATCTTCGGTCCTTCTTTCTCCTCTGGCTCGTAGTCTACAGCACCGAGAACACACATTATAAGGAATGTGTGATCGAGCAATATATATCTATATATGTAATGAGACTTGGTAGCCGCCAATGACTTGCTCCAATATAGGTATATAGTGGCGTGATAGCTTTAGCTACCACGTCACACCACTCAGTCGAAATTTAGTGGCTAGCATGAAAAAGAGCGTGCATCTGCAGCTTGAATTCACGTACATGGTCGCACCGCTTCTTTTGCTATCTGGACAGGTTGTTTTGCTTCTCTACCACGCATGCAGTTTTAGCCAGCAGCACTACACTGCCTTTAGCTATGACCAAAACTCTTCGTGTAGGTCGGGTTGGGCACCACAATGGCGCTGCCATGTGATGTCCACTTTATCGCTTTATGTTTCAAGAAAAACACTCAACAGTATTCTAAAAATTGCTACACTGACATTTTATCCTGCATTTTCGATTAGAACCATTAAAAATATCCTTCTTTAAGAAAAAATGCACTTTTTCTGTATGTCATGTTAATAAATTTTTTTTCAAATCGAAATCTTTATCAGAAACCTGAGGGAAAAATACATCGACCTTATGTCTTCATGAATTTTTTTTAGTATGTTACAACACCCTAATTGCGAGTTGAAAACCGAGTGTTTTGGCAATTGCGGGCTGTGCTAGGACATTTGATGTGGAACGCTCCGTATACATAGGGGAGAGATTTTCGTAGAAACCCTCGAAGTGTATATTATGATGTGTATTTGCTTGAACAACATGAACTTGACCTAGATGACTCATGATTAGCATTGCCTTGAGTAAACCAGAGTTTCATCAGAGGAAAAGTCGACCACTTAAACATCTTTATGTTTCAGCCCGTACGGTTTTGAAGATAATAAGGCTTCGATCAGGTATAAGATAACCGTTACAACACAGAGACAAGCAAGTAGTACGCAAGATAATGTATCGGTGAATCTATCATTGTAAATAAAGACATCAGCAAAGATCTTTGGCTACTACTTCCATAATATATAATGAAATAATATTGTTTCCCTTTTTATTTTAATGTGTTTTTTTTTTAATGTAAAGACATTAGGAATTCATCAATATTAGCAGGTGTGTACTAAGTACACTTTCACATATAATACATTGTGCATGCATGTATATAACACCTTATTGTGTATATGTATTAGAGAATAAGGAATAAATAAGGAATTAAGGAAAAGAGATTGAACTTCTTTTGTTTTTAACCACTACTGAACTCATCAATATGGTGAGCTAGTGGTCTTAGCCATAGAAAGTATAATTTATAAATACCCTGTAAGATCAATAAACCTATTATTGTACAAATAACCTAGTAACGTATCTATTAAATGGCACACAGCGTAACTATTCGATTTTTCAGTACCATTATTCATCTTTTGTAATAATTTCTCGAAAGGTTGTAGCTGGATCCTCGTAGGGTATTTCTCCCGAGGCCCAAAGAAGACCGTGGTAATTAAACTGCAACCATCGATTTTCACATTTGTTTTTAGGCAAGAGCTGTACCTAAGAATATGGAAGCTTACAGACAAAAACTGACGGTGTAGCTTTTTTTTGTAGATGTATAATAGCGATGTCTTTAAAAATAAATTTGTTTTGCATGGTTTTAAAGCCTTGAACGTCAGTCATCTACTTCGTTATCTTGACGTTCTGACGACAGAAAAAGTTATAAATTTTGAGAAACAGAATAGTATTTCCATTAATGTACATTTTTTGGAGGATAGTAAAAATAGTTATAAGCCTGTACTTTTTCATTTGACAGCAAAAAAAAGGACATATACATTATTTTACTGCTTGTACAAAATTACTATATTGATACATATAG